TGTAAAGTTAGTTTAAATGACATTATTGGTTTTACTAAAATCATTTTAGCTGACATTTGTTGGGAAAATGTTGAACTGGGACAATGGATCACTAAACTCTCAGAAAGATGGGACAATTATAAACAGGAGACAGAAAGACGACAGAAAAAGAGACTAGAGGTCAGACCTCATCATATGAGGTTCTGCTTCCCTAACTGCATTCCCAGTAAATAACCCCTTTAAATTGTCACAAACATGCATGTTTGAACACAGTCACACACAAACGCTCCTCTTCCTCCTCTCAGTCTTCACCACCTCAAGCTCCTTTCTCTGGCGTCAGGCCTCGTTTTGTGGCCGGCGGACATCATTAGTGGGGGGATTGTGGGGAGGTTGAGGGGAGTTCTGGCTTTTCTTTTTAATATAGTGACCACAGAGGAAAAAGAGAAAGGCTTGTAGAGAAACAGAGATGCTAATTAGTTAAGAGAACAAACGCAGCAACAGAAAGAAGAAGCTGCTAATTAAAGACAGATGTAAACCTTTAGAGAAAGAGAGTTTTGAAATAAAGGCAAACTCTTTTCAACACTGTTTTAACTCATTCTTGACTTCATCCGTAGGAAGGAACCAAACTGAGGTCCGGTGAAAACCATCTCACACCTGATCACAGCTGACAGTCGCTGTCTCTGTCGATCGGTCGGTTCTCCATCACGGCGTCCCGTAAGGACGCTTCAGGTCCCGCAGGACGGACCTGTCTCTCTTCATACGTCTGACTGGGTTGGAGATGGAACGTGACTTTCAGGGAACACCTGAGAAGTATTTTCCTTTCCCGATCCAAACGGTTTCTCTGGAGGGTTCTCCAGCTGTGTTACCAGAAGTTCATTAGTGAGATCCTGACCAGGCAGACCCCGCTGGGACACGGCCTCATACGAACTGAATTAATAAAAAAACAAACTACAAGCTGACCGTGTTAAAGCTTACACATTGTTTCATATAAAAACACAAGAACAACAAACGTCCACGGACTGTGGGGCAGCTGGACGTGGGACAGACCGATGGACCGAGACATGTTTGATTGCTACACTAGGTTTCATCATCTCTTTTTTTTTTTCCTTTCTCAGGACTTTCAGCTGCTAAAAAAACACAGTCACCTCAGAAACTGGTGACCCTGGTGACCCCTAAACCTTGAACCCCAACTACCACCCCCCTCCGTAGGCTGGGGGCCAAACCAAACACTCGGGGCCCGGTCTGCTTCTCGTCCTCCCACAGAGAGAGAGGACTGTTTAACAGAGTGATTAACAGCAGCTGACTGCGTGGCATCTCAGATATGCTGCTTAACTAAACTGATGAAGGAGGAGGAAGAGGAGGAGGTCCCAGCAGAGGACGGCGATAAGAACACCAAGAAATAGAGAAGAAGATTTATGACATCTGACTGAGCTCCCGGTTTAATCAACCAGAGAGAAAAGTCCAAACATCTTCATTTAACCAATTCAGATTTCATCCAACCAGACCATGAAGACATCCAATCAGGTTCACAGCTCCTTCCTGCATGTTTTTGCAGATTTATTCACACCTTTCAGCACCAAAGATGTGTTTGTTCCAAACACACGTCACCTTTTCTTGACTCAACATCACACAGGAAGCCCTGAACTTTAGACCTTCCACCCACAGCGGCCGTAAACATCTCCGCTTCTGAACTTAATCTGTGTTTTTATTCTGAACGCTCTCGGTCAGGACTGTTCCAGTACCAGGCAGTTAAAAGGTCCGTGTATCTTTAGAGTTTACTTTCACAGCATTAGAGCAATACTGTGGTTTCACAACAGCCCCCCCGTTAAAGGTCCTTGGAACAACATTACTGATGCTCATGACAGGAGAGCAGGTCAAGCTCTGGAGCTGCCTTCTAATGGAGGAGAGACCACAAGAAAGACACTGGTAAAAATAACACTACAGTGAAGCACAGTGGGGGCGGCATCATGACGAGGGAATGCTTTTCTTTATCAGAGACAGGAAGGACGAAAGAACGTGATTTGTAAACGCAAATTAGAAGAAAGTGCAATTCAGAAATTAACTGTTAAAAATTTTTTTTAAAAATAACTTTGCTGTTTTTTTTCAGACTTTCTGCTAAATGTTAAAGTTAAATGTTTCCACATTTTATTTTTTGAAATCTAATAATCACAAATGTTATTTTTCCAAATTCCCCTTTTAGATTAAGTACTTTTTTTTGTTTTGCTAATTGCATTTAACATATCAGTCTCTCCACTCCTGGTTGGCTTACAGCAATAATGGAACAAAATCCACTTCATAAAGTCTGCCTCTGAATGTACCAGACTATAAGTCGTGTTTTTATTATTGTCTCTATGGTAACTTCAACATCATCTAATTGAGGATGAGTCTTTACAGAATTTACACCTGACTCTAGAATGTCATTAAAGTCAAGATTACACAGATTAAATCTCCCTTCAGAGGAGACCACCATGTAGATTTAAAGAAACAGATAAAAAAACAGAAAAAAAAATAAACACACCTGTAAAAAAAAAGAAAAAAAGTGGTTAAAGTTAAAGATCTTCTGGTGTAATTATAGGGCTGTTTCATCTGAGAGCTGCACCCTGAGGTCAGAGCAGGATCTCTGTCTTCTGACAGCTTTTCTTACAGACTTTCTGACAGAACCAGTGCTATAGGCTCAGGGGCGGCGCTAGGGGGCATACAGGGGTGGCCATGGCCCTCCCTAGCCAACCATTGGCCAAACCCACCATGCAGTGGAGGTCCATTTAGACAATTCAAAGTACTGTACATGAGAAAGTACATTGAATCACATCAAAGAAGCATCGCTAATAAATAAAGACAACAGAAGTAAATCGACAATAAACTAAAATATAATAAAATAGAAAGTTATTTGTTGCTTTCGTGTGGATGTGACTCATCGCCTGAGAATTACGCAGTTCCCCTCTAAACCACAGGGTGGTAGCAGAGATATTATGAAGTGGATTTCCTAAATATAATTAACCAAAAAAAAAAAAAAAAATACAGTAATCAATTCTCTACAACGGAGGTCTTCAACATTTAGGATCAGATGATTGTTTCCAAACCAGCTCTCTGTACTCAGCTTCTTGTCCATCTTTGATTCACCCAATGACTGCAGAGTCATCTGAGTATTTCTGCAGATGAAAGGACTCTGTCTAGTACTGGATGTCAGACGTGTAAAGAGTAAAAAGTAATGGAGAGAGAACCGTCCCCTGTGGTGCTCCTGTTCTGCTGACTCCTTGATTAGACAGCTGACCTTTTAGTCTAACAAACTGTGGTCTGTTTGTCAGGTAGTCTTTAATCCAGGCGATTGTTGATGCCTTCGCCTGAGGCCTCTGCAGTTTCTGATAAAGTGCGTCTGGCTGAATCATGTTAAATGCAATGGAGAAATAAAAAAACAAGATCCTCACAGTGTTGTTTAAGCATGTTTATGATGACATCTTTAAGTGTTATCTTCTTCTTCCCTGGCCACACATCTCTGACATTGTTCTGCTGGAGCTTGCCTGCCAGCCTCTTCCTGTTTGCCTCGTGGGTTTCTTTCATATTGACCTACAGATGATTCTGTATACTCCTCAATAATTGCCGTTTTCCCATTCCTGAAGGCTCTATTTTGTTGTTAAGTAGTTTCTTCAGATTACTGGTAATCCTGGATTATTGTAGCCTGACGTAGTCCGACTCAATTCTAGTCAGAATATGAGTCTGATACTGCTCCATAGAGCTGTGATTATGGGGCGTGTTTCGAACGAACCAGGAAAAAAAATGCCTCTGCACTCAATTGGATAGACCTACAACCAATAAGAGCAACGGAGTGCGTGACGTATGTTAACCGAGGCATAGTTGTTGTCCACAAAAATCAAAGCGTGCAGTTTCACGCCTATAATAAGAAGATGAGACTTGATCGCGTTTCTCTGTTCCTCTTTTAAAATTAGTTTGCTGTCGATATCTTCTAGAACAGACCTAATAGCAGAATCTACTCACCTAAACTCTCCAGCGGCAGCCATTATTGTTGTCACCCAAGCGCGCTTTGGTCACGTGGTTGATTACGTTACTGTTGATCATCTGTCCATCATCGTATAAAGCCCGCCCTGACAATTTGATTGGATCGCCAGAGGGTGGGCGATAATACTCGCGCTACTATGGAGAAGAGCCAGACCGAACTTCCCGACCTCAAACTTTGTGGGCGGGACTAAGTTCGGAATGGCACCCAGGCTAGGATTATTGGGGAAGTAGTGTAGCACTCTTCCGGGGAGATGGTGTTATCTACATAGAGGTATATATTATCAGTCACACACTATCAGTCATTGCAGTGATGTCCTCTCCATGGGGTGGACATAGTGTATCTCCGTTTGTAGCCTCAAAACATCCTCGCGGGCTACTTTAGCTTCCTGTGACCATTTTCTTTCTCTTCAATACCCGTTAAATCTTACAAGGAGGCTTCTACTCTGAGCAGGATTGTAATCTGATTTCCTAAGAGGAGGTCTTACAGTAGAAAGAATGTCCCCACTTTCCTTGAGGGGGCCCTTGGCTAGTCCTTCGCTGGTCCACTACAAATCCTTTTTAAACATGAATATTTTTACTAAAACATTCTTTCTGTCATGATTTGTAGCCATTAAGATCTAAAGAGAAGCGTCATCTCCTGGTCTGACCCTGTAATTCAGTGAAAGGGTGTAGCCAGAATAAAAAAAATATGAAAGGGGGGTCACTCCAGTGGCTGGAAGTGGAGGGAATTTCGCTGGGAGTTGGAGGGAAGTGGGCTGCCATTCGACTGGCGTTTGACTGGGAAGGACCATTTTCTTGAATGGCTGCTCCTGAACTTTTATGAGATTGGACTTATAATTTCTATCTACGATACATAATTTATTTAAAAGTAACAAGGGGCGGACCTGCATGTGGCGCAGTGGTTAGTGTGCACAACCCATGACACAGCCAATCCGATTTCGAATCCGACCTGTGGTCCTTTGCAACATGTCTCTCCCCCTCTCAGCCTACTGTTAGAAAAACAAGCCACTAGACTGTAAAAACTCAATAAAAATAAACAAAAAAAGAAAGAAGGACAACCTTTAAGAGTTAACAAACTTGTATATATGTCATGTTTGGCAGCAATTCAAAAATGTTTTTAATAAATCTCAGAAATATTCCTGCATAATTTTTACCTTTAGTTCTTAATTCATTCCTCTGTATTTAGTTTCTTAGTTTATGCTTGTGTTTCCTTTTATTTTACAATCTCCCAATGAACTAATCTGCATCAAATGTCGTTCTCCACTCTACCCTCAGTGTTTAAGCTCAGACTTCTTACTGCCATCATGTTCAGGTCAGTTAGACTGTCTTTAACCCAACAGAACTTTAGAGTATTACCCCCCTTTCCCCCGATGTGCTTTTCTATTAAAAGAATTGTGAAATGTTTATTATATCCTAGCTCAGGTTTAGGGTAAAATTACTTCTCAATTTTTTTTATAGATCACTTATTTTTTAAATTACCTATTTAATTTCCCTTTGGGATTAATAATGTATTTTTGAATCAAATTGAATTATAATCTGATTCATTTTTTTAAAATTGCTGAATTTCATAAGGGTAAGCGGGGACTAAAGTCCCTGGAGAACCTGTTGCTCCATGTCATCCTCTAAATCAAGGAGATTGTTCTACATGCCCTCTATGGCCGCAACCTTTGAACTAAAGGACAAAAAATATCATGAGATGATTGTTTGTGACACACTTAAATAAATATATGTATTATTAATTCAGTTGGTACAATGCCTGGCACGCCTCTGAAGTCCAGAGAATTTTGGCATCAAAACTGTGTATTAAAGTCACAAGCTGATGTCCCTGATCTGTGTGCTTGCTGAACATCTATGTCAGAAGAATGTGGCACTTTTGGCTTCCCGTAGCCCAGAGCTGAGTGGTGTCATGTTTGAGCAATGCTGGATGAGGTAGCCTTCCTGGCTCTGTAATGTCTGCCCATCTGGTACAGTGTGTGGGTGAGAGAGAGGAATGGTTGTCATAAACGTATTAACTTTATAACTGCTGCAGCTCAGAGTCAAATAAGGAGCCTTTCTGTGTTTCTCAGACAATATTTCCCATGAGAACCGGCGGCAGGAAGCTGAATGGAATGAAAACTGTGAGTGTTGGTGTGTGTGTGTAGTGACATTGTTGGTGTCGTTTTTGTTGGTGTGTGTGTGTGTGTGTTGGAGTCGACACAAAGAAAATGTGAAAGCAGCGCGAGAAGGAGGTGGTGTGACATATTTTACCAGCTTCCTTCCCAGGCCCTCTCACACACACACCCATAATCTCCCCCCACACACCACCACCACCACCAAAAAAAACAACAAGACACAATCAGTAGAAAATGGGTCGAGTATTAACACATCACCCCGTATGATCTCATCATTATTACCACATTATTCCCTCCTAAAAACGACCAACAGTTATTGTTACATGAGAATCTCTCCAGGATCTAATGATTGCAAAGTTGGAACTTATCCATTCATTCCCACACTGGAAAAAAATCTAAATCTAGATAAGTCGTTTTTTTCTTAAAATAATTGGATTGAGGAGGTAAAAGAGACATCTTGCTTATGGAATAAGACAATTTACACTTAAAACAAGAAAACACAACTGCATTGTCTTATTTCAAGTGCATATGATCTAAATATGTTATTTTAAGTTTAAAAATATTCATTCCATTGGCAAAATCTCTCATTAACCTACTCAAATTAATGGTAAATACACTTAATTTAATAAATCTTTTCTTTTTTTATTTCTAGATCATTTTTCCAGTGCAGTAAGTCTGCAGAGACCAGCTGGTGGGGAAGCTCTCTGTCCCAGTCTGATATCTATAAACCATCAGCCTTTAAATGGTGGACACTTAACTCAACCTGCATACAGGGTAGAAAGTGACTTTAAAATCCTGGTTCATGGCCTTTACATGTATAGTCATTCACAAACCGATGGTGGTGAGCTACACGGTACCCACAGCTTCCCCGAGGCACACTGATAGAAACAAGGCTAAAATCTAAATCTAGATAACTCTTCTTTTTCTTAAAATAAGTGCATTTGTTGTTGAAGTGAGGAGATAAAGGAGGCATTTTGCCAATGGAACAAGACAATTTAGATTTAAAATAAGAAGGCAAATTATCTCATTTACCTATTCAAATACACTGGAAAAACAATCTAGAAATAAGTAAAAATGCCTAAAATTAAGTGTATTTGCTCCCAATTTGAGTAGGTAAATGATATGGTTTGCCAATGGAATGAGTATTTTTACTCTTAAAATAAGATGTTTAGATAATATGCACTTAAAATAAGACAAATCAATTGTGTTTTCTTATTTTAAGTGCAAATTGTCTTGTTCCATTGGCAAAATGTCTCTTTAACCTCCTCAATCCAAGAACAAATGCACTTATTTCAAGAAAAAATGACTTGTCTAGATTTCAATTTTTTTCAGTTAATTATTTATAGATAATTTTTCCAGTGCACGTCAGGTGAAATGCCTTGCTCAGGGACACAACAATAGAGACAGATGGAGCAGGAAATTTAACCGGGTGCCCACTGGTTACAGGACTAGCCCATAGATTCTGAGCTGGCATCATATATGTAAATGTATACGGTTTACTCCCACTCTGCTTACATATATGTATGTAAGGTTCCAACTTTGGACAGAAACCAAGATTACACACAACAGTTGAGTTACATTTTCATATTTTACTTTTTTTTTCCAGAATAAGAATAAAATATATTATTGAAATAAAATCAGGGGTGACTAATATTTGATTATTAATTAAAAATAAAAAAATCATTGATATTCTCCATCATAAAAACTTTTCCTATGAGTCCAGCATTCCCCTCTTTTTCATTTCCTTTTAAAATATTAATATATTCCAGCTTTTTATGGGGGCAGAAGGAAAAGCCTGGACTGCACAGAAAAGTCTGAAAATAAATGAAGGTTTTCCTAAAATTAGTATATAATGTTGAAAAAGTAAATAAAATATATATTTTTTTCCTTTTAGTTAACTAGATATACTTAAAATAAAATGTAAACTATCTTTTTCTATTGGTACATTTTCTTAATTGCCCAAAGCCAATAAAGGAAAAATACACTTAAAAAAAAAAGAAGAATAATATTACACTATTTGCAGTGTGGCATTTAGGTGATAAAACTTACCAAGGGGATATTTTTATATTTTCAGTTAATCTGTAACTCAGGCTGGTGCAGATATATTTGTTGAAAAATGGCATAAGAAAATATTTCTACTCCTGATTAAGAAAACTAAACTTCCATGGTTACAGTACAGTAGTTTCAACCTTAACATCCACAAAAGGTTTTTGAATCCTCTCATATGGGGTTGATACTAAACATTACTGAGAGAACCTTCAAGACTGCCTAATAACACCATGACAATTAAAAACTTCTTTATGTATTTTATTTTCCTGATCCTTGGCTTCCTGGAGGACAAACATCTGTTGGGTTTGGATCCTTTCAGCTCTACTGACACAGTTTCTGGGAAATATTCAGATTTTCACCGTTGGGAGACCTGCTGATTAATGCTGCTCTGTAGCAGCAAACTGCTCTGAGCGCTTCAGCACCTAAACAGGTTTGTATTTAAAGGACTAACAGGTGTTGCTTTTTGCACTATTTTTCCCTGCTAAATAATCAGCTGATTCACATCTAAACAGAAGACAATGAGATGTTAAAAGCTGTGAGTCATCAGAAGCATTTAACCCATAAATTCATGGGGATCACTGCTGGGAAATCAAAGCTGTGACAGAGAAACGGTGATTTATGCCCGATATTGAATCGTGGTTATTCCACGCAAGAGGGCCAATCAGGAACTAGCTGTGAGTCTAGATACAGCCGAGGCGTGGATGAAGTGGCGGCAAGATTGTGCGAAAACGGAGGGACATGAGGGCAAAAAACAACAGGGATCCAGGTGGAAAAAGGATCCCAGCGTTCTCATGCACCTCACATCTTCATGAGTCGTTTTTAACAATGGTCATACAAACAAAAAAAGCCGGTAAGGTACCAAACAGGAAATAGTGTAGAGCGGATGTAAATTTGACCAATCAGAGGCCTCCTGTCTGCAGTCACCTACAATTTTGGAGAGGTGCAGCAGAGTGTCTGCAGAAGGGGGCGGAGGCACATTTGCGTTCACTGCGACCCACACACAGACGACCTGGTTACTGAGTATAAATGAGACTTTAGAGTTTGACCCACCTGTTGAACTCGTAGATGTCCTCGATGTTGCAGAACAGCGTGCTGACCTGCTCTGGTTTCAGTGGCAGGGCGCCGCAGTCGATGATGCAGCCCAGGTAGTCCTGCAAACACACATACGGGTGAGCTGAGAGAAAACACTGATCCATGCCCCTGAGGGCTGGATGATGGAGGAGCAGCTGCTTGGACTTTGACTAATCAGGAATGTCAGGAAAAATCAGTAAACTCAATAAGAGCGAATCCAGAACCCCATCTCAGCCTGTGTTAATAGGAGATGACGTTTAGTTTCATTTCTACACCACTGCCTGGACGTCCACCTCTGAGCTGCAGGCACCTACAAAACCATCCGACTGAAGAAGAAGCATGAACAGGAAACTAGCAACGCTGCAGAACGTCAGATTAGAATCAAACAGGAAGGAGAGATGGGCCAGATATGGTGAGATAATAATCTGACTGTGAGTCTTCAAATCTGAGTCAGGAGGCTCCAGGCTGGAAGAACCAAAGAACCTCCTGCTGGCCTTCACAACATTTAGTTATAGGGAAAGTACTACAACATAAGACATGCCTGAACCTCTAACTAGCAGAGGCCAGAGTTCAAAGGTCAGGGGTTAAAGTCGCTGTGGTGTGTACAGGTTTGGACAGCAGCACTAAAGAAGCAAAGAAAACCAATAATGGAACATATAGGCCAGAAGAATCTCAGAACCAAGGGAAACATTGAGTTTCTAGGCTGAAAAGGGTTTAATAAAGTGAAAGTTTCCAATCTGCTGAAATCAGGCACCTAAACTAGATTACTGCCTCAACTGGCTGATAGTTTTTCCCCCTAGAGGCAGGCTCATCTGAAATAGAGCCTAAAAAAAAAAACTGAAGGAGATCCTTCCAAAAACGAAAAAAAAACAAAAAAAAAACAATCCACTGGACTGAAGTTTGAAGCTGTTTCGCTTCCCATCCAGGAAGCTTCTTCGATTAAAAATCGATAAAAAAAAAAAAAAAAAGCTTTATATGGGGTTGAAAAAATAAAAAGAACAAAGTTACTTTCAAGTTTTTTAAATTTTCATTCCTACCTTGAAAGTTTTCTTTCTGATTCCTGTTAAAATGAGTTTTTCCTCTCCACTGTCGCTGCAAGCATGCTTAAAGTGAGGGATTGCCTTCGAGTCAATGAGTCGATGCAATCAACTGGTTTTCCTTAGATAAAAAAACTTTGAATCAGAGACACGATGACGTGTTGTGAGTTGGTGCTATATAAATAAACTAGAATTAATTGAATTATAAAGCATGTTTTTGTGTTTGGAACGATAATGGATCAGAATCCACAGAGAGCCTCCCTGGTGGTGGGTTCACTTCCCACCAGAACTGCTTTTCAAATCTAAGAATTGACCAAAGGCTGCTTTTTGTTTCCCTGTGGAAAAAAGGTCGAGCTCTGAGGATGTATGGCAGCTTGTTGAGGCAGAGGGTCTGAAATAACAGGGATCCCAGCTGCTATTCATCCCTTAGATGAAAATAACAGCTGATTGAAGCTACATGCTTTAATCCAAATACATTAATAATCCAGAAATATTGACTTATTTCTAGAATTATTTCAACATCTTGAATTGGATATTAATATATTTCAGGATGAAATGTGCTCAACAGACTTTGTTTAATTCATAGGTGAGCTTTTTTTAGACGGCTCTTGGTTTTTGACAGGTCATTTTACTTGATTTATGGATTTGCTTGGATAACTGTTGGTCTCTTTGTTTTGTTGTTTCTCTGCCATTTAAAAATCTTTTCCTCATCGTTCTCTTTTCTACTTTCTTGTTCCTCTGGTTTCCATTTGCTCTCTCAGATCCCATCCCAGCTCTCCCCTCTGTTGCCCCCTTCCCCCTTTGTCTGGCTGTTTTTCTCCCCCCTCTGTTTCCTGTCCCATTTGGCTGCAGGTCAGCGGTGTGATCCCCTCGCAGTCACAGTCAGTTTTCGCTGCAGAAGAACTTGGTTCAGCAGTTTCTCGTGAGGCCGACGGCGGAGGAGAAGAGCCGAACCAGGTGGAGTGATGTCAGCCTTGCTGGCAGTCGAGCTGCACTTTAATGAGAACTTCTTCAAAAGAAAAACGAGTCTGTAGGGGATCAGCGGTGACGAAGAGGAGCTGTTTTCACCCGGCCGTTCTTTTCCTCTTTCTGCATGTCTGCTTTGTTACTAAACACACACAAACAGAAAGCCCAACGCACACACAGGCCTATTATGGTTATTGGTTCAGATTCCAAGTAGGCCTGACATCATGTAGCCTCAATCAAAACCAGACCTCAGCTCAACCTCAAACTGCGGAGAGCGACAGGAGCCAAGGCTTGCATTACAAGACAAACAGGCAAACATGCATGGATTATCTGTCAGAACTCCCCCAACATGGGAATTCACCAGGAGACAACAAATGACCAGGAACCCAGAAGCAAAATTCACAGGTTTTCACAGGAGAAAACTAAAATTCATCATTTTCAAAACTTTTTAATTTCCTAACGATAAATGAGGGCTCCAATTATCCGTATTTTTAAAGTTATGTGGACAGACATTAATGGACGATGCAAGATTATTAAAAAACACACTATTACAGCTATACAGCGGGTTACTATGGAAACAGTTAATATCATCAACCTGAATAAATATACATAAAAGCTTTTAGCCTTGATGCCAAATGCTCCTAATGTTTTTTCTACATAGAGATAGAAATAGCTTCTTCAGCCAGTATTTTATAAATTTCGGCCACCGTTTTGGGGAGGTCACCCACTTTAGAGTGTTTCTATTTGGTAGGCTCAATGAAATATCAATGATCATTAATAACAACTCTATAATAACTTTGATGAGTAATTACTCACTGTAAACTAAACTTTTCCCGCTTTTTGTGCTGCTAAACGTATAAATGCATCAATAATAGATACATTTATAAGGATACATGTTCATGAGACTAATTGCTTATTGACTTTATCAATAGCATCTCTCTAGCTGTCTGTCTCTCTGTCTGTCTTCCTGCCTGCCTTCCTGTCCTTCGGTCTGTCTGTCTGTTCGTCCGTCCGCCTGTCTGTCTGTCTGTCGGTCCAACTGACTGTCTGTCTGTCTGTCCGCCTGTCCGTCTGCCTGTCCGCCTGACTGTCTGTCTGTCCACCTGACTGTCTGTCCGCCAGACTGTCTGTCCGCCTGTCTGTCCATCTGTCTGTCCGCTTGACTGTCTGTCCGCCTGTCTGCCTGCCCGCCTGACTGTCTGTCCGCCTGTCTGTCTGTCCACCTGACTGTCTGTCCGCCTGTCTGTCTGTCCACCTGACTGTCTGTCCGCCAGACTGTCTGTCCGCCTGCCTGCCCGCCTGACTGTCTGTCCGCCTGTCTGTTTGTTCGCCTCTATGTCTGTCCGTCTGTCTGTCCGCTTGACTGTCTGTCCGCCTGTCTGCCTGCCCGCCTGTCTGTCCGCCTGTCTGTTTGTTCGCCTCTATGTCTGTCCGTCTGTCTGTCCGCCTGACTGTCTGTCCGCCTGTCTGTTTGTTCGCCTCTATGTCTGTCCGTCTGTCTGTCCGCCTGACTGTCTGTCCGCCTGACTATCTGTCCGCCTGTCTGTCTGCTCGCCTCACTGTCTGTCCGCCTGTCCGTCTGTCTGTCCACCTGACTGTCTGTCCGCCTGCTTGTCTGTCTGTCTGTTCGCCTGACTGTCTGTCCGCCTGACTATCTGTCCGCCTGTCTGTCTGCTCGCCTCACTGTCTGTCCGCCTGTCCGTCTGTCTGCCTGCCTGTCTGTCTGTCTGTCCGCCTAACTGTCTCTCCGCCTGTCTGTCTGTCTGTCCGCCTGTCTACCTGCCCGCCTGTCTGCTCGCCTGACTGTCTGTCCGCCTGCCTGTCTGTCTGTCCGCCTAACTGTCTCTCCACCTGTCTGTCTGTCCGCCTGTCTGTCTGTCCATTCAAACAGCTGCAGAAAATATAATACATTCTTTGTTACATGTTTATAAATTAGGAGACATCCCTCGCTTCAGCCATTATCAAAGTGTAACAAAGCGTCTCAGATAAAAACACATAGAACTATGTAAAGAACGATCCACTCTGTCTGTGCCTCCATTTCATTCTCCAATCTCTGTTATGTAAATAATGAAGATGAGCTGTTATCCTAACAGAGGAACCGTCCTAATTAGATAAACTACTTGGGAAAACATTAGTTCTGACACGCAACAGGCAGGTATAATCAGGGTTTATCAGACTCACACATCATTCTCAATAAAGATTCCTAACAAACATAACAGGATATTAGAAAAGAAAAAATGTAAAGAGCTGCCATCAGTGTCATGAATCTTCCAAATAGATTCCAACAAAAAAGTTTTTTTTTTTAAAACCCACTGGACTTTGTCTTAAAAGTTTGAAGACGTTTTGCTTCCCATTCAGGAAGCTTTCTCAGTTCAAAACATCAGGAGTAGCATTGAGTTCCAGACTTATAGGGTGACCCAAACAAAAGCCTTGTTATGGCTTAGAAGACATGCAAATAGAACCAGCAGAAAAGCCCCGCCCCTTAGTAATGGGTGGTCGTTGAGGTCTTTGCTGGCCTGTGAAACCCCATACTGGTCTATACCTCTGAAAGATTCCTGGATGAGAAGCGAAACATCTTCAAACTTGGAAAACAAAGTGCAGTGGTTGTTTTTTTTGTTTTTTTACTTATTTAAATTTCTTGAAATGAACATGACCTGGATGACTGAGAATCTTCACCAGCATATCCAAATAGATGTTTTAAAATTGACTGCTGGACTTTAATTTGTATTTTCAGAGTTACTTATATGTAGTTGGGGCAAATTATTAGTGATTTCAATTGACTAAGAAGTGTCTGTTTACTTAGTTTAGAAAAATGAAAGTTTCATTGAATAAAAAAGAAAGTTATGAATTGAGTGACGAAGGCTTATGAATCAGAAGAATGAAAGTAACAACGTCGTCTCGTTACCTAAATGTTCAATACAGGATTATTTACAGAATATTACACATAGGCTGCCATGACCTATATTTATAAATCATCTCCCAATGTTGTGGCATTGAAGGATGTAATCAGTTTTAACACACACCAATCATCTCATTATAATGAGATAACTGCTTTCCTTATATTTAGATAATGAGAAAATTAACTATAAAACCACCCTGAAAAAGCTGCTGAGTATCTAGGCTTCCTTACTGATGTCATCTGAGGATAATTTAAGTATTTTGTGTCTTTGTTTAAGAAAAATAGGAGATTAATGGGAGGGGAGATGAGAAAAGAACAAGAAGACTGAAAGAAGAGTTAAAGCGAGGGAAGAAAAAAAGTGATGATAGAGGAAAAAATGTGAAGAAGGGAGAAAGGAAGAGTAAAGCAAAACAACAGACAATGATTACTACTAATATCACAGACATTCCTCCTGTTACACTTGATTTTTATTGATTAAATATTAATAAGTATATGACTAAGGAATCTGATCAAGCTTCTTAATTTAACTTCATATCATAACATATTTTATCTCTGAGTCAGAAATGTTTAATCCAACTAAGCACAGCTCCTTAGTTACAGTTTTTCTTAATATATCCACTATCTGCTTCTTAACAAGGGATCCAGCATTATCCCTCCACTGAGGCAACCACTGTATCATCCCACAGCTCTATTCCACACACACCGTCTTTTATTTCCTGTAATAATAAGTAAATTAAAACCTCAGAAGGACTTCTCTACAAAGCCAGGAGGAGAAGGAGAGCAGGAGAGAAGAGAAGAAGCTGACAGACAGCTGATGAAGTTGACGACAGCCAAGCTCTCAGTCCCTGCATTGGATGGAGGATGAAAGCAGCTGTAAATTTTCTCTTTTACTTCAAAAGGATGTTTCACACTCCGAGAGGACAGCTGACAGACACACACACACATTCGACTACCGCTGCACCTGGACCAACGAAGGATGAAATGCAAGCATTCAATCATGCAACCGGATCAACAGCCTCTTTTTTTTCAATTGAGAAACTTCAAAGTCATCTGCAGAAGTCTGAAACATTCCTCAGTTAAAGTGAAACACTAACTCATCTGCTGTTATACAACAGAAATGCTGGTAAAGCTTTTAACCCTTTACCAGCATTTTCCTTCTCCAGCCTGCATTGTGCTGGGAAAATGTTTAGCCATTTAGTTGACCAGGCAGTTAAAGGGTTAAAGGTATTTCAGCTCAGGCGACTTAAAAACCAAATATGTAAAGAAAATATCTGATACTCTTTTAAAATAGAAAAGATGATGCAGCATTTAATAAGAAAATGTTGGATGAAAGTAGATATCTCAAGTCGAGCCTTACTGAATAACGCACTAATAGAACTTTATATGTCTCACAATGGAGAAACTCACCTCTGCATTTAACCCATCCCCTTAGAGAGCAGTGGGCTGCCATTGTGCGGCGCCCGGGGAGCAGTGTGGGGTTAAGGGTCTTTGCTCAGAGACCCAGAGTGAGTGCAGGCTGTGGATCGAACCGGTACTTGCACTACACTGCTCTGACCACTAGGCCAAAACTCCCACAATAACAATCCAATAATAAAAATCAATTAATGAATTCACCTAAAATAGATTTTCTAAAACACCATATTTTACTTGTATCAAGATGATCTTTCCATAAAATGAAGGTTTGAAATCTTTTTCTTACAAATTTCTATTATAACTACATTGTTATATTTTAACAATTAATTGATTATAATAATTAATAAATAGTGACTGAATAAACAAAAAAGGTTTTATCAAACATTTAAAAACTTGTTTATAATATATAAGAAAACAGAAACATGTTACATTGCTGAATAAACAAAGACAAAGAAAATCTGTTGAAAGAAAGAGATGTATTCCTATAATTAAAGGAAAGGGTATGTCGCTGTGACATAGTGTCAGACTGGTTCCCACTTAGTTCCAGTGAAGTTGATGCTAGGTATGCTACAGCTCTCAGTTTTTACAGTAGGTACCAGATCTGCTCAGGCCCTGTGCATGCCAGCGATGTTACGCTATATGATTGGCTGAATGTTGCCACATGACTTAAAACATTTTGGTCACCCAGACAACGATAATAACAATCCAGTGTCCGTGAGCCGAGATGGGAGCATCTGTAGCGTTAGCATGTCTAGTGATCGATAATTGATAACAAAGCTAAAAAAATATGTTTATGCTGAACAGTGTAATTGCAAGACGGCGATATAAAGGGATGAAAGCTGAGAAGCTGTGTTCAGTAACTAACAGGCTAGCCTCTTTTAGCTCAGTCTGTTAGCCATCTTGAGCTACACTGCTTATAACTTGTGTCAACAACAACAGTTAGTTTCCCAAAAGAGGACTAACTGTTGTTTTCTTTGTCTAAATCTGTCCTCCATTTTTCCTGCACAGATCTTAACACAAAGAATAAGAGGAACCACTGAGATGTTTTGTGTCACCTTGGTAAATGGCAGATATGTCTGTCTTAGAAGGCAGTACTTTCCTTCAAGACTGAGAAGGATTGTTTTCAACTTTCGGCTACTTTAGATCGTTGATGAAACTGAAAATAATAGCAAATATGTGCAAATATGTTTAGACTCCAGGAGAGATCTGATTCTTGAGAAACAGGTTCAATACAGTTTGTCCTGTGGCGTTGGCATATGATGACGTCATAAGACGTCTGACCACCTGAGCAGATCTGGTACCTACACCGTAACCCAACAATCAATGGAAGATATTAATGCTGTAGGCAGCGCTTTTAAATGTTGGTTCTTCTTCTGGTTGCTCTCAGTAGGATGTTAAAACTTGACTCATTGAAGTTCATTACAGACAGAAGCCGTATCCATCTACCGTGCTAATTGGTAGCATGTTTCTTCCTAATGGGAACAGCTCACTGACGTGTGTCTACCCAGGTAAAACGACTTGGCAAGCGACGCGTTTCAATATCGCCTCGGCTCTGATCAGCATGCTTTCGGAACACCAGACCCGGGTTGATCCGCTAAATTATGTGACACCATTGAACATACGGACGTCAACAGACTGCACCAGTCGCTTCTGCATTAACAAGCCGAATCAACTCTGTTTACATTTGAAAAAGTAAAAGAGATTCACGCGGATAAAAGAGCAAAAATAATAAAGAATACTGACTAAGCCATGGATTCTGTCCATGTTGCTCTCCATTATTTACTTCCCTGATTTTTGTCACACTGTCGAATTGAGAACACCCACCCAGCGTGATGCTGTCATCAGACAAGCAGGGGAGGGGGACAGTGGCCACGTAGCTCGCCAGCAGGGGGTGTTAAGAATCCAGTTTTGGGGGGTTGTGTTTTTGTTTGTCTTCCCTCCACCAGGCGGTGGTTCTCGTTGGTCCTCTCACATACCTGCGGATGGTTGCCTCATTACCTGAGGACTCTTAAGCTGCTGACTGCCACTACCTCGACGCCAGAGTGTTTGCCAGTTTTGGGTACTCTAGCCAAGCCAAGAGTTTTGCTGAGTCAAACTGAGTTTTTGTCAACCTGAATCTTAACCTTGTTGTTTTTGTCTTTGCCTCTCGGCAGGAAGTCATTCTGCAAACTGGATGTTTTGGACCTTCTCTCCCTGGAAGGATCAACTGAGCTTCAAACTGAGCTGGGGATTCAAACTGGAGGTTTGAATCCCCAAGGGATTGTTTGAGCTTCTCACTGAGCAAGGGATTCACCTCCACAAGAAGCTCCTCCATTCCTCAAGGAAACACCTCAACCTGGGTAAACCCTGTCCACCCTCCAACGAGCAAGTCAATGACTGGAACAACCCTCACCGACTGGATTTAGAGAAAGACACCTTTTCTGGAAAAGTGAGACCTTTTGCCTTTATTCCCTTTTGCAAATCAAATTTCCCACTGAGCCTGAACTAACCACATGAACTTCCCCTTCATTTTTCAGTCCTGGTTCACCAGTGTTCAGAGCAGCACTGGACCCATCTCTACCAGTTCTCAATAAACTTGTTAAACCTTCCCCTGGTCTCTCTGTTTGGTTTTCTGCATGTGGGTCAGATCTTTGAATAAAATCATGACAGGTGGTCAGACTCAGTTTATGGTCAAATGGGAAAAGAGCTAAAAGCCTATGGTTAGCGGGTCAACCCGGTTTTGAAAAACCTGGGTTTTCAGTTGGAAAGCAGATTATTTAAAGGATTTCTTTAGTATTCAAATAGCGACTACTAGTTGAGGCTTAAAGTCCAGTCTCTGTATCTTGGTGGTGCTGTGGGATCTTGCTAGCATGTTGTGGGTCTGTGGCCCTGGTTCTTCCTTTAAACAAGCATCCTCTAGTTTGTTATATTAATCCATCAGGAAGTGGGTCCCATATTCCTAACCCCGTGTTTTACAGGACAAATTCAAATTTAATTCATCACTGGAAGTAGTGGTTTGGCTCTTACCTCCACGATGCTTTTTAAATCTCTGACGTAGGTCTGCTCCGTCTCCACGATCTCCAGAATAACTCTCTCCAGCCTTGAAAGCTGCCTGGGTATGGCCCCTGCCAACATCGCTGCAACCGGATTGGTTATATGTCCATTAGGGGCGGGGCATGTTGCCGTCATCTTGGGAACCCCTCCTCCACCCGTCGGAGGCGCTACAGTGTGCAGAGTTACTAGTGGTGTGAGGTCCAGGCTGATGTCAGAGCCGTTGCGTTTTGGAGTGGAGGATGATGACGATGATAAAGAGGCGTTGTAGGCTGGTACCGCACCATATGGAAGTGAGGAGGAGGAGGAGGAAGAAGAAGAGGAGTGGGACGCATCCTGCAGAGAGACCGAGGAGGTGGAGGAGGAGAGGGAGACGGGACGCTCGTTGTCTGAACAAAAGGTGTTGACAGACGTGCAGGAGGACGAAGATGCTGCTCGCTCGCCAGCTGACATCATCCTACCTACAATCCCACTCAGAGACGAGACTGAGGAGGGACGCTTGGTGGCTGCGTGGAGACACAGAGACAACAGTCAGTCCATCAAAAATACTGACGTCTTATTCTTAAATAGTACAATATTTCACCTTTTTGTAAAAGTAGATTTAACCATGTGTAAATGATTAAATATGTGATATATCTGATGTATATATATATATATATAACCTAAAATTCTACCAAAAAGCTCCAAATATTACTAAATTATTCATCGCTCTCAAAATCAAGTGAGAGGTTTTCTGTAAAATACTGAATCTAACTACAATTGTTTTCTTTAAATTGTCATTTGATGGCTCACGGTCTTGCACCATATAATAACTCTTTGATATAAAAAGAAAGAAGAGAATTGTGATGCTAAAATGAATCTCCCTGCAAGCAAAATAAATCACAGTATCGTCTACATCATGTGAAATCTGCATATTGACTAAACCAAAAAGAAATAAAACCACATACTAGACCATGGTGAACACATTTTATCCAAAGAGCTTAGACTGTTTAATAAATATTTAACAGAAATCCAATGTTAAAAAATCCATGAACTGGAATGTAATCCAGTGTAAAAAAAAAAAAAAGCTGGATTAACATTAAAAGTTAATGTTAAAAGCATCACTTTTGACTGATGACATTCTAGTTCATGGATCACTTCAGTGATTTGACAACAAAAGAGTTTGAAATGTTAAGCTTTATGGTATTATCTGCTAAATAATAGCTAGAGAACTTGTATTATAACCAATAAACAATTATGACAGGATCTTTGTTTGAAAACTAAAAGAAATTCGACAGTTTTCTAAAGTTTTAAGAATATTGTTTTGTGAGGGAGTCAAACCTTGAGAAACAAGCTTTTAGAAACCAGGACATTATTTTCAACACCTATCGTTAACACTATAGTGCTTAAAGGGGTCATAGAATGCAAAACCGAGTTTACATTGCAATAGATGAATAACAAAAGTTAAGTGGGTGAAATGGACATGCAGAGAAGTTCAAAACCCATTAACACCCCCATTCTCTGCAAATTTCACAATTCTAAACTTCCACCATAAAACTAGCGAATCCAAAGGAAGCATCAAGTTGACGAGTACTTGGTTCGAGTACACGGTGTGCTTCGAATACATGCTGAACTGTGGTCGACCAAAATCCCGGATGATTTGAAATTCCCCCCAGACATTTTTTTAGGTATGAAAAGTAGGACGTGTCGGGGAAAAAGACGACGTCTCGTCACCCTACCATATGAACAATTTGATGTTTCAGTGAGTGAGTGCTTGTTGCTATGATGCGTCTTTGCTCAGGAGCTTGTAAACCAACCAATCAGCACACAGCTCATCTAAATATTCATGAGCATACCATAAAAGGAAGAAAACCTGTCGTTTCATTCTAGGGCATTTAACTAGGCTTGCATTAGGGCTCATAGAACAGCAAATATGCCAGATTACACACCCTATTCAGAGACATTAAGGACCAGCACCAAATACCCTATATAACCATTCTATGACCCCTTTAAGATGTTTTTAAACAGTCTAGTAAAACAGACAGCATCTGCTAAATGGTGCTAGCAAATAATGTTTTTGCAAGCACCCAAGCACTCTTCAACTGACTCCCACAGAGGAACATCCAGACGCTCTGGGTCATGGATCCAAACCACTCATCAACAACTGACATTGTTTCCAATAGGTTCAACTCTATTTACCTGCCAGTATCCTAGGCAACCTCGGGGAAGATGAAAGGGAGCGGAAAAAGGCAACAAAGACCTGTTAGACAGAAGCCATTTCCAATCAATGAAAAGAAGAAGTCAGAGTTGCCATCTGTCATTGTAAACAGGAAGCGTGTGCAGCAGAGCACCACATCACCTCCGGCTAACAGAACTGTTGATTTTGTGCTTCTTTACTATACAGTTTAAATGACACCTCTGGAAACTAGGAGGATGTGCGTTTAAAACAACACAGTCCAAAGGTCCACCGACTCTCAGACATCGTTACACCTGCCCTGACTGCAGGCACAGCTCCTGCACACAAAGCCGAAGAAACTAATCCAGACTTCCTGGCAGGAGGAATTTCCATACAATGTTTAATGAGAGCATTTTTCCAGACTCTTTGTTACTGGAACGTGCACCAGTTCAGAACAAAACGACAGGTTCTTACAGGAATATAAGTCACTGCTGCCAACAGACTATAAACCAACCATTTAACTGGTTTAAAGTATTTCACACTTTGTTCCACACTGAGTTTGGAACCACAACACTTAGCCAGAAGAGAGCTTGTTGCTACTTATTAAACTTAATTGATATACTTAGAAATAAAAGGTGAATCTGATAACCAGTTTAAAAAAAACACAATAATCAGGTACTCCTGAATTAATCTGATTATTGTTCTGTTTATTTTGAACAGATGAATGGATAAATGCATTGATCAGTTAAAGGGATCCATGTTTCTATTATGTAGGGCATCACAAAGGCTTAGTGGATGATGGTGTTATTTGCCCCAGTGAAAAAGCATTGGACCACCAATATGAAACATAGGGTTTGACTTAAAGCAGGCATCCTCAAAGTCGGTCTTTGAGGGTCGCTCTCCTGCAGGTTTTAGAGGTTTCTCTGCTTTAGCACAGCTGATTCTGATAATTGCAGTTCAGCAAAACCCTGTTGATCAACTATGAATATAAATCAGCTGTGCTGGAGATGAGAAACCTCTAAAACCTGGAGGACAGCGGCCCTTAAGGAGTGACTTTGAGAATGCCTGACTTAAAGGTTGTGGGTTCATTTCCTACCAGAGTCCCATTTTAAAATAAAATATTAGCCCCAGCGTTTAGCTTAGAGGAAACTTTTTGAAACAAAAAAGAGTCTAAATACTTACATCTTCAGTAGATGGAAGCACTACTATAAGTACTACTAAGCTACTTATTTCAGTAAAACTAATACTGAAAATTAGTTCTATTTAATACACACGTAAACAAAACTCCACATGAATTTTGAAACATTCTTTGTGCACACATATAACACTTTTCAAGATCATTAACATCTATTAGCCTAAAGATGCTCTGCTGACGTTACTAGCCAGAACTATGAAGAAAACGGCGCTGAGTGAAAAATAGCCAATCACAGGCAGGTTACTTTCTCAGGTTGGTTCCACCCTAAAAGTGACAAAAGTTCACATCAGCGCACAGAAACAGCTTCTTCCCCACCGCCAGACATCATACAGTTCAACTGTTATGAAAACTCTTAATCATGTCACTGACTCCAGATCACACTGATAACACCAATCATAAATCTGCATGTTTGCACCATACATATTTAATGCTCTGAACTTCCATATAAATGCGTGTTTTTGCACCATGTTTTTTCTCCCGCACTTTTTACATTTGATCACTGCTGCACTTAATGGAACTGAAGTGTCATGAAAACTGTACAAAATGAAATTTCATTGTGTATACCCTCCGTGTATAAGAAATCACAATACAAGTTATCTCAACATATTCTCATTATCAGTTCGTATGAAATCGTTTTGTACGTTTTTCCTCGAAAAAACAGATCAGTGCGCATGCGCAGCCAGACGGATGTAAAACTGGGAAAACCAGTGCAATCATTACTTCCTGATGTCTCTCACTAGGTTGCTTGCTGTTTTGTATCTTAGGGTTAGGGTTAATTGTATGTTAAATTCTGTTATTGAATGGTGCGTAACATGCGCATGCGCAAGGATATCTTGTCTCGAGGCAAGACGTTAAAATACGACGAAATACGACGAAAAAAACGTCAAAAACGTACGAAATTACTGTGCATAACTTTTCGTACCATTTCATACGAACTTATAATGAGAATACACTGGTTATCTAAGTCTAAGTTTAAATGTGAGTAGAGGATAATCTATAGTACCATGAAAGTGCTAAAAACGTGCATGGATAGTAGTTTATGTCTGTGTGTTTTAAATAATTCTGCTAATATCAGTATTCATTACACATGTTTACTTCTGAATCACAATTTCACCAAGCTTGAATGAGAAACAACTAAAAAAACTAAGCAAAAGTACCCACTTGTCTCCATTTTAAGCACGCTTTTTGGCCCCTCAGGAGGAAGTGGGAGGATGCATGTCTAAACATCTAACCTTGGATTAACCTCATAAAATTATTGGTTCTGCTTTATTTTACATATTATTTTGCTGTCAGACTAATGGAAAGCTTTCTTTTAGAAGTAAAGCAATTCAAAGATGTGACCTATCAGTCAGTTTTCTAGCAGGTCATTAAAGAGGAACTCAAAGGTTGTGGCTTCCTGTACCACCACACATAATCGTATCTCCATCTGAAGCCACAGTTACCACTGCAAGATAACTGTTAATAACTGTGTCAATGAGCAGTGCCTATGAAATTAATAACTGTATTTTGAAAGGCAAGAGGCTATGGCTGACTGAGGATCCCTGCAGCCACCCAACAGCAGTAATGTTACTGCCATCTGTTATTATGAGGAAAAACCAAACTCTTTAATGTACGGGTTCATCAAATGAGCTTCTCACGCACTGAGGTTCTGAGCTTGGCCTTAGAGAGGCTGAGGTTAGAAATGCTGCTCCTCTGCATCAGAAGCATTGAGCTGAGGTGGTTCCTACCCTCTGGGATAACATTGATTTACTTTATTGATCTCACAGTGGAGAAACATACTCATTAAATCTGCTCAAATAGTCAAAAAGAGGAAGAAGGAAGTAAAGGTGCATGGGGGTATATATACTATATACAGTGCATCCACATATATACTACACATATATGACAGCTAAAGTCTTTTTCTTATTTTTTTTTAACCCCTTTAGGCCCGGCGGGCCCAGTACAGGGCCCAACTGAAGGGCCCAAAACACAGTCACATGGTGTTTCATCCAAACGCCTTTCAAATAGGGCTTTAGAATTTCTAAAACATGTTCACAAATTCGTTTCGTTTTATAGCTGTATAAACAAATAAAATGAGATTTAAAAGTCCACCTGACGGGAGAAATGCAACAGCAGGTATTAATGTTTAGCTCCACCCCCTAATCATTGGAAACCAG